ACACACACACACACACACACAACACACAATATATATATATATATATATATATATATATAAATATACGTATACATATATATACATATATAGGTACCTACCTTGGGGTTTGCTCTGCGGATGCTGATCCGCTTTTCTGTTACTGAAAGGTAGCGGTCGTTGGTGTCCCCTTTCACCATTGTTAACTTGAGCATCACCATGGTGGCGCGCGGTAAGTGACAGTCTCCACGAGTGCGATGCTGACTACCTGCCGTTACTGCACACGGTAGCATTGAGTTGTATGACGAACAATAGTGCGTATACTACGCTACATACATTGCCTATCAATATATATATATATGTCCTGATGTGTACCCTAGAGAGATAAATAAATAAATACAGTTTTGGAAGTCGAGTAGAATTTCGGAATTTAATAGCCCATTTCTTATCAGATTCCCAATCTCCCCGATATTTATCAATTATGCTCCTAACTGAAATGGGGTCAACACCTGAGTTTTAGGTGTGTAGAATTGCTATATGAATTGAGTGTCTATTTAAAATGCTCGGCTTAGGCGGCTATGAACAGAGACGTTGCGTATCTTCACGCCCGAAACACAATTGCAATACATTGGCACGGGCGCACACTCTGCATACGCTGACTGCAATGATAGCCATTTTTTTTCCTGGAATAGGTTAGGTATATCGATTGACTGTTTGATTGACGGCTGAATAGCCCTGGACTGCATGATCTTTGTGCGTGTCCCCAACTAATGGGTGTGGCATAGGTACTTAATGACTGTTCCGCAACTGTATTGACCTCAGTGAATCAGTTGGAGTGGAATTTTTGATAAAGATGTGCATCGCCTTCTCTTTCTCTGCCATGGTACATGCTTTTGTGAATTAAATGGGTACAGCCTGTGCTTCGCATCGAACGGTATAGGCGGGGACTACACATTACAACAAGCGCACATGCGTTGCAAGAACTTAAACCGCTGTGATAGGATTCAATGTTTAATATGAGATATATTGGGACACGCAGGGCTGGGTCAATTAAAGGAACAGAGAAGGATGCCGCAGTTTTGCCGAAGTGTCATACAACTACGCAGATGTACTATCAAAGTCGCCATTGCATGTAGTTGGTTTTCCAAGGAAGAAAGAATCTGTTATGATAGTAAGAGTCCGTACGGAAAGAACGATCGCAGATATGCAATACATGTGCAGGAATAACGCTCAGTAGCATATGCACGTCTGTGTATATACACGTGTTTGGAGTATGTGGACGTCTAATCATTTGGAAAATTGATGTGATAAGAGTACAAGGTAGCCTCGCTGGTGTAGACATAGACTAACGCATCAGAGCCCTGACTGAAGCGTTGTACCCGTTTATACGATATCACACGATCTATATCATGGGCGGTATCTAACAACCGACACGTCTGAGATACGTTAACGGTATGTGGGCTTGAGGAGACAGATACGGGTATTTATCAACTGAACGAGACACTTTTCAGGTTAAAAAATATATATCTCCAAATGGGTGTCATTCCAGACAGAGGACTGATTTTAATATCACTGTGTATCCCTGTCCAACTACTTACACCTTCCTCTCGTACGTGTGCAATCAGCCAGTCTTTCCTTTTCCGGGCTAACTCGACCTTTACCGTCATACATTGAGCTGTACTATTATCGCCGAGTGCCCTATTGTGTGATGCTAAAGGCCGTGTTCTGCTTCTCGATACGAAATACGATCACCAACTGAATCTCGTACATACCAAGGACTACTAATATACTAGCATGAATCCCAGTCATGCAATCTTCTCTCGTAGCTGTGCGA